TAAGTAAATACATTAATTCAACAGCAAACATGATTCACTTACCCCACAAACATTTTAAAATAGTAGTAGTAGTAGTATTGCTTTTGCTAGACATTCCCATTAGGAGCAAACAAAGATATTTAACAGAAATGTACACATGCTCAAAAAAACAGTACATGCAGACAAAAACTGAAATTAAAAAGGACAGTAACTTTAAGATAAGATACAGTGGCATAAAGTTCCTTTACATTAAATCTCCTACAAGTCTTAAGCCTTTAAGTGAACAAAGGCTAAGGAAAAGAAAGCTATTCTTCCCCACCCACAGTAAACTTGTATCAGCTAGTCATTCAGAGCGTAACTCCTCCTTTCAAATCAAAGCCAAATCAAATATTTTCTTCTACGTCAGTACTGACATAGTAAGTATGAGGGGGAGAGAAGGAGAAGGAGGAAGGAAGAGCAGAAAAAAAACCAGAACACATGGAATCAGCAAAGGGTTTTTTGCAATTACTACGTTCAATGCAACATTTCATAGTCCTATGATCTCTTTAGCCTAGAATAATTTTCCGTTCTCTCCCAACATTCAGCCTTTCGTTATCCCCCTTCCCTCCTCAACCTCTCTAAAAATCAGCTATCCTTCTGACACCCTGCCCCTTCACCAACATCAGCAGCGCAGACAGACTGCAGACACCCTGCCCTTGACCAGTATCAGCAGCACAGACAGACTGCCGACACCCTGCCCCCTGGCCAACATGGGCAGCAGGACGCTGCCCAAGTTATTCATGTGAAGTACGATTCTCTCAAATCCCACTACCACTGGGGGAGCCAAGAGGCAGCGCAACTCTTACCCACATTCAAAAGGCGTTTGCACGAGTTGGTCTTGCCGCCAGGTGACCTGGACACCCAGTGTCCCTGGCAGTCCACTGGAGCCAGGGGATCACTTACAATCCTGTGTTTGCTATCGGTGATTGGGCGCGTCGCTGTATGGGAGTGTTGTTGCTGATCTTTTCCACTGCCTCAGTAAAGCTTTGTTTTATAATGTGTCATCAGACTCCATTACTATTTGGACCACACCTTCTCGCTCAGGAAAACAACTAGATTCACATAGTTGTCACTTGTTTCAAACTCATTCAAAATTCCCTGTGGCCTCCGTGCATCCCATATGTTTTTCCTTCACACCACCTACATATAGTTCTTCAAAACTGATTTATCTTCCAGAGCTTGACTTCCCCTTTCTAAAACCCTTCCTTGATTTATGCTTTCTGCAGTAAGTTCCTTCAACACTTTATAGTTTCTGCTTTTCATTTTTTATTATCCTACCACATAACATCTTTTTGACAAATTCGTCGACTCTTTTTTTGCAACCTTTCCCACATTTTCCATCTTCCAATACATCCTTTAATTCTTCTAAGATGTTCGCATATGTCCAAAGTCCGCAAGAGCAAGATCACTTCTCCTACTGCTCATTTTAAAATAATATTTTGTAATATATCCTCACTGGCTTCCTAAAATCAAATTTTGAAGCGCTCTGCACATTGGCATCTATTCAGCTAAGTATTTAAGTATGCGAAGTCCAAAGAACAGTACGGCTGGGCACCAAGGACTTCAGACTGTTGCATGTCAGGACTACAAGGACCCACTGCCTTGGAGGTCATAGCTTTAGAATACAGCGCGAGCATGCAGCTGGTCCAGATCCAGTAGCAGTATTCCATACAAATGTTATAAATAAGAACAATTTCTGAATGTCAGGGAAATATCTTATGCTTTCTTGGTTACAGCAGGTTTAGCAAGCAAAATTCAGGAAAAGGTTTCACTTCGAAGATCAGAATTGCTTGCACTTCACTTTCACCACAGAAAAGTAACTCTGGTGCTGTGGGAGGTTTGGGGGGTGGGAGTTCTCTCTGTAAAAGGGTTGGTTGTTTGTTTTTTCATTCATTTAAAAAAAACCCAAGAACAACCAACTTACACCTCTTAAAGTCTGTAGCTAAAGATCCACTCTGACAAATATTTTGTGGCCTCCTTACTCTCTAACTGCAGGATTATTTTCTTAAGGATCTATATGGAGCTTTTAGTAATCACAAATGAATTATGAATATTGAAACTACCCACACACTTCTCTTAAATTTAGATCCTTTTAGATCCTATACCCGTCTCAGAAGGAGGGAAAGCAGTTCTAGCCTGTGACTCAGCATTCTACTTTTTAGTTTCAGTTTCAATTCTGAATTCATCTGTGTAAAGTAGATTCGAACTACAAAAGCATGAATGAAATAAGACAGAAACACAGAAGAGAAGAAGTATCTAACTGCACGCTAACAGGAAAAAAAGGGAAACATGATAGCTTACTGTTGTGAAAATAACACTAGATACACTTTTGCTTATTAGTAATGGCAACAGCAAGGGAAGAACCGACTTGGACTTGATAAATAGCAAAAACGAACTCACTTGGTGGAAACTCCAGAGACCAACCTTTGCCTTCTGTTCTTTGGATGTCAGTCATCTAATGACAAATACGTGTTTGGTTTGACACATACAACAAAAAACAAATAGATATTACTCACTAAATTGAAACAAAGAAAAAACCTAAAACACTAGAATTTAAACAAAGAAATCACAATAATACAGTATATTATGTTCCCAATCAAGAGGTAAAGAAAAATCATTTCATTAATCAAAGTGTATTTATACACTTATACTTTTTTCCCCCAAATTCATAGCAATTTATATTATCTACTAGTCTGACAAATACTAGCCTTTTTTGCAGTAATAGTCATCCTAAAGGAAGAGAAATTTACACAGACCTACTTTATGAAGATTTTCATAGCATAAAAGCAGATGAAAGTTTTCGTAAAACAGTCAAAGATCTTTAAGCGCTTCTTGTGCGTTCTATAGATGGCTTTCTTTTTCAACAAGTTCTAACTTTGACTTCCTTCCCTTTGCCCTTGTACATTGGTTTCGTTTTCTCCCCTAACGAGTCATCTTTTTTCGCTGCCCCGCCCTCCTGTGAAACCTGAAAGGGTTTTTTCACATGTGCACGCTAAATTGTTTTGACCTTGCTAGTAGATTCACATAATTTATCATCGTTTTCTATATTATAACACACTTTATAGGCTAAATTATAACAAACAATTTATTAATTAGCTTACAATAACGATGGTAAAGATGATCAGGAAGAGGTACAAATGTCTCTTTCACATTAATAATTAGTGTGAAAGAGAAGAACTGTCTGTAAGCAAACTGGCGGTTGATTATTAAATTTTTAATTCCATGCTGTTACAGCAGGACTGTCACAGTCTGCATGTGTCTAGCAAAGCAAACCACTCAGGAAAATTTACGCACAGGAATGGTTTACAGGCTCCCCATGATACTGGACATGAGATAGGCACTAAGACGGCAACAGCTGGGAAATTTCACTGACACCCACTGGCAAAACCCACCTAAAATAAGGCAAGCACCAACAAAATCCCCCAACTTTCCACTTTTTTTAGGGTCCGTGTTTGTTTTTTAAGGAATAAAAACATAGTTTTCCTCATAGCAGCTCATATGGGGCTGTGTTTTGGGTTTGTGCTGAAAACAGTGTTGGTAACACAGAGATGTTTTCGTTACTGCTGAGCAGTGCTTGCACAGAGTCAAGGCCTTTTCTGTTTCACACGCCGCCCCACCAGCGAGTAGGCTGGGGGCGCATGAGAAGTTGGGAGGGGACACAGCCGGGACAGCTGACCCCAACTAACCAAAGGGATATGCCACACCGTATGACGTCATGCTCAGCAATAAAAGCTGGGGGGAAAAGGAGAAAGGGGGGAAGTTCTGAGTTACAGCATCTGTCTTCCCAAGAAACCATTATGCATGATGAAGATGTGCTTTCCTGGAAATGACTGAGCATCTGCTGATGGGAAGTAGTGAATGAATTCCTTATTTTGCTTTCCTTGTGCATGCAGCTTTTGCTTTGCCTGTTAAACTGTCTTTTTTTGTCACTTTTACACTTAGGGTTTTCTCCCACATCCTGCTGAGGGGAGCAAGCAAGCAGCTGCATGGGGCTGAGCTGCCTACCAGGGTTAAACGATGACAACATAGTAGGCCAATGCACTTTCAACACTAAAATAACCTTCTAAAAGGCAGAATTAGAGGCTCTTGGTGGTGGATTTTTTTAGTCATCCTTCACTAACATGTATCCTTAGTTTAATTATTTTTCAGGAACAAAAATCAACCATGAACAGAGAGCAAAGTTTACTCTATTAAGCTTCTGTGATGGATGAACTCCATTCCTTGACCAAACTAGTGGTAGTTTGGTTCAGGCTCCAAAGGAAGTAAAGGCCTAGGCCGTGACCAGCCTTGAACTTCTCTAGTTCCAACCTGTTCTTTGAAAACCCACACAGGGACAGGTTGACATGGTGAGCTTTGATGTGTATGAGCTTGGAAACCGGAACACCGATCATGCGATTAACACATAAATAGCAGATGGTTCTTCCAAAACAAATTTGGTCAAGGAACAAAGGAAGCTGTGAGTACAAGGCGTCTCATGCTTACCTTTTCCATCACACGTAATTTGACTACGAGCCAACCACTTTATTCTGTAAATATGACAGCCTGAGTGAGCTTTTCTTGAGCTCTCCCTGCTAAGTAGCTGGCAGCATGGCGGTGATCTCCCTTGAGCTGGGACACCTCTCAAGGTTACTACTCGAGGTTGAGAGAACCCTTACCAACTGCAGATCTTTCGTAAATGACTGATATCGCGCATAACCTTGTATCACAGGGCATTAAGATCTTGTATTGGTAACTTTGAATCATTATTATATCCTCTGTGCAGTAGAGTAATAGATTGAACCTTGCCATTGGACTTTGTTAAGCCTCACTTTCATACCACCTCACTTCAATAAAACCACTTTTGATGCTACCTTTGGCAGTGGTTCTAAATCTCCCCCATGACAGCTTCACTTTCTCTTTTAAGCCTTCCTCACCAAAAAAGTTAATAAAAATAATCTAGTAGAATATTTGCGCTTGTGAACAGTCTTTTAAATGGAAAGAATGAATCTAAAGAATTACAAAGGGCTACTAAAGTAACACAAGTCCATCTTGCATTTTAGCACTACACTACACTTGTTTTAAACATGCAAGCCAGAGAGATATTTGAGAACCACAAAACCCTAGTTTTAAATACAATCCAGTTAAGCATATTATTTAATCAACGTTTTTCCCATATCAAAGAAATCTGTTTACAGAGCATGAAAATATGGTCTATAACCATGCAAATACCTTAACGTCACAGTATCAGTGCAAAACAATACTCCAGTATAGCAAAAGCCCTGTATATGAATTAACTTTGCCTAAAGCATCTTCCACTGCACTCCATTCCATCCATACGTGTTAACTGAATCCTCTCTTAAAGCCGAAGGGAAGCCCACATCTGAATGCACATTGACAGGCAGGACTGGACAGTCAAATCAGACATGACTTCAGTCTCACTTTCAATAACCCTGAAGAGAGCCCTCTCCTCCTCCTAACGTACAGCCTCCACCTTCTCATTCAAGCAATCACCTCCCACCTCCTTTCAAATCCAAAGTTCTGAACATAATTTTGGTAGTTAAATATTACAGGAAAAGCACACTTGGCTGAGAAAGTACATAATTATTAAAACACAGTGGCTGCAAAATTTCAGCCACACCATTAAATAACACATTCCAGGACGATGAAAATCAACACACTGTTAGTCTTGCAATTCCAGCTGTAGCATAACTTACCCTCGTATCATGTTTTTGATGACAATGATGATCTTTAGGATCAGACTGTGTTCTCTTTCTGTCTTTTTCTGTTTCTTTTTGTTCTTGAGAGATTATTAAATGAGATTCTGAAGAACTGCAGTCTCTGATATGTAAAAAGAGAGAACTCCAGTTCTTCCAATGTTGACATCTTTTCTCAGTATTTAAGACAGATACCATACATGTATCATGAAAAAACCAAAGACGAATACAAGAAGTCTACCCCTCATAGAAGTGTAATGGCATAAGCATATTTAAAGGATTTGATGAAACAGCCATTTTTTATACCTTCAAATTGCACAGTCCAAGGCTATGCAAAAATATAACAACAAAAAAAAGTACTGTTATCTATAAAAGGGACAGGAACTGGATTACTGCACATTTAAAAAAAATAATGGTAATTAATTAAAAAAATAATAATCAATCTTGCCCAAGACCACATTTTATTTGTGCAATATAGAAGGGAAACAAATTTAAGTTCCTCCAAAATTTTCAGGTTTACAAAAAGCTGTTTAGTAGTTTACTTACTGTACTGTTTTTGAACGACAGCACATCACTACAAGTAGACCAATAAAAATAAAAAACTTTCAGAGAAGTGTTTAATACAAAAGTTACAACATATATTGTAACTTAGCTGAATCTGTGAATATGGAATCTCTCTTACTCTCTCTGGGCAAGGCAAAAGAACAGAATAGACGTGGCAAAACCAAGTTCCTACAAATTAGGATACACATTCATTTTTACCGTTGCCAAAATGCATTTGCTGGCATTCAGTTCCTCAAATCAGCTTGATCTCCTAGCGAACTTTATATAGCAATGTTAACACAAAAAAGTGGGTGTGATTGCACTGACATTTTCAGGCACCAAAATTCCTCAACAGCGAAGTACTTCAAGTTGGGAGGACAAAAAACATGAAAATGTAACTGTTTCCTGTTATTTCCAACAGGGGTAAAACTTAATGCTGAAGGAAATGGCTTGGAAGTAGAACACATCTCAAGATAGCTTATTTAGTTCCTAGAAGTCCTCTTTACTCCTAGGCTGTGCTCTGGTTGCCGTTCTGGTAAGTTTATTCCTTCCATTTTTATTTACTAATAGATAACAAAATTTAAGCAATATCTATGCTACGTATTACTTAAATCTTATACTAAACATTGCTAATTAAAAAAAAAAGCAAACTTGACAGTTGCTTACTTTTTCTCAAGAAGCGACCTCTTTGGTTTCTGTTTATGTTGTTTAATACCTATAGAAAATTATAGGGGGGAGAGGGGGGGGGGAGGAAAGGAGTTAGGAAGTTTCAAAGGAAAGTTACCAAAGAAGGAATTTTGCTGTGTTCAAGGTAGATCTTGAAATCAGAAAAGGTTACCATTGATTTCGTCTAATGTCTTCTTTAACTTGTCATTTTGTTGAATAAGATCCTTAAGTCCGTCAAGAATATTCTTGCATAGCTCCTGAGCTCTCTCATTAGCTTCCAAAGCCAATTCATGTTCCCCCAGTAATGACAGTGCCTTACAGAAGTGGTAGTGACCCTACATGGGCATAAGTTTGAATTTCAAGCGTTCGTGCACACAAATAAGAAAACAATTTCTATCCAAAACAGCTGCAGTAGACAAGACAAAGTAAAATTTTACATACTCAAAGTTATCTACTCCACCTGTTTCAGGTCAAATGATGAGTAATCAAAGTTTTCAACTACTCAGCACACTGAAACAAAAAGATAATTCACTGGGAGTAGCATCTAGCCTCTGGCTTTGGAAAAGAGCAAATTTGCTTTTTCCCCTAATCTCAACTACTGCTTTGCAATTTTGTAACTATCCCTTATTTACTCTTTTTAGGCCAAGCATATTGGGAAATACATGTTGGTCATTAATCAGGATTTTTTTATTGTAAGGACTACGTGTATTCTTTCTAAAGCATTGTGATAACATAGCTATGCACAACAATGCAATAAATGTTTTCTTCTGTCTTTACACATGCAGAACACCATGTAACAACACTTACAAGCATGTCAAAATAACTTTTTTAATATAAAAATACAAGCAAACTATGTAGTTGGCAGACGGAAGCAGAATTCTTAGCCCACAAGGTACTGTGTTCATTCTACTGTCATTAGTGCTAAATGCAGATGAGAACATGTCACATCTACCTGGGTCAAACCTGTAATTAAGACTCCGGGTTCTTACGTTGGTTTTCGGTACCAACAAAAGACAATTTTGAAATGTATGAGAAACTAACCTTTGGCCAATTAGGCTTCAAAATAGTGGCTCTTTTTCCATCAGCAAGGGCTCTCCTTAGAGAAGGGAGGGAAAAAGAGGAGGTATTTATTATTTATACTTCAGAAAAATCTACAGAGCAGACGTACAAGGCACTATAAAAATACAAAGTGAATAAAAGAACAGTTTATTCACCTGTGTAAAGGCATGGTCAGACAACACTTCTTAGCTGAAACTTACCTGGATTAAAATGTTACAGATCTCAACTATTTCACCCATCAGATATTTATTCCCTCCCCCTACTTACTAGGTTTTCCAGCATTTCTGCATATGTACCTACCCCTTAACTGGGTTCTAACAAAATGTTCCTTTAAAAAGCAAAGCCTTAATAAAAAAGCCTGAATACCAAACCTAAATATTTTGACAGAAATCATATTAGAGAGTAGTCACATAATCATAGCTAGAGATTTGAGGGTGCAAGTATTAACTGCTGAGCACTGAAAGACAGTAACCTCCAAAACTCCCAACAACTGAAGCCTGAAGAACATGCCCGACTGACTTTTTATATACAAGGTGTCATGGAATAACCAGAATTACAATTTTGGTCAGGTCAGAAGAGAAGCAGACTATCCCTACGGCTACAGGAGAGAACACAGAGCAGCAGCGATGGCCTCTGCTGATACCAAGGCTGCCCAAAGCGGGCAGTTACAGAGTTTCTATACCTTTGGGATATACCACTCATTCTTCACCGGCCTACAGCTGTGTGGCAGATAAGCAGGATGTAGTAAATTACAACAAAGAGCGGTCACATACGGATTACTTCTGATGAGGAAGCTTACAAATAAGTGACTCCTTTGATAGCTGGGTCATGCTGACTCAGTGAAGCCTTTAGAAAATATCTGCAGCGAGACCTAACTTGAGAGGCCTGCAAAGGCCTACGAGGCGTTAACTATTTTACCTCCACAAAGGGAAGGAATATAGAAAAAAAACTTGTTTCACATGGAAGTGTTCATAAATTGCCTAGTCACTACCACTGTTTTTTGTAACCATTATAGCTGAAAACCTTGTACAGAGAGAACTGAAAGAGGAGAACGAGATGCTCTGTGGTAACGAAAGCTGGATACTAAAGAAAAGCCTAAAAGAGACAATAATTTCAAAACAAGGAGCATGTTTTACACAACAAAATTTTTCAGAGATTTCAAGAAGAATTAATTCAGTGAAATGAAAGCAAGTTAGAACAAAAAAAAATCCCCCCCCCAAATTAGAGAAGCCCCAGGTAGTAATGGCAGAATTTAGAGATGTGGCAATACATTTAAAAAAAATAGTAATAAAAAAACCCACAACAGAGTGATTAGAATGGGAGAAATTGCACCATATTCACATTGCAAAGGAAGCAAACACAAGGAAAAAATGCTTGAGTAAGAGACAGATAGTGGGGTACAGAACCTCAAGATACTAAGATATTATAAGAGCAGTTGAAAAGATTAGAAAAAACTGAAGCACTTGTCTTGTTCTCTAGTGTGTGCTGTAATGCTTTGTTTTCATCCATCCAGTCCTTCCTCCAGTGCCACCTCTTGACAGCCTGGTGCAGTGCTAGGAAAGCTGCCCCCAAGCACTGTCAAAACATCACGACACAAGGCCAAGCTGCAGTGAAAAGTCCAGTCCTATATCAAAACCTGGGAGAGAATATGACCCACTGCCTCTCATGAGGCTCTGAAAACGGGAGGAAGACATGCGCCTTGGATAAAGCCATGAACTCTCCAGCAGATGATCTGGAGAACACTATATACCTGCATAGTCCCATAATACAGTACTGCCACCGCCAATGGCAGGCCATAAGCTCTGTAATGAGTTTGCAAAGCCTCAGGACTGAGGCTTCTCAGTCTTGCTCAGTCTGAACTGCAGCTTGACCTGCCTGCAGCTTTCTTTTACTTGGTTTAACTGTGGCAGCAATTTCTTTAATTGACTGGGTGTCTACGGCTAGTTTTTTCTACTTTTATTTATCTTTATAGAGTACAATAACAGTTTTAGATAGATAGCAGTAACAAGCAGTTATTCTATGCATAATGAGGTATTTATGACTCCAAAATGATGATGCCCCGTAGAGAAATACAAGCCTGATATGACAGCAGAGGCCTTGTGAAGTGGAGACACAGGATGCAACATAAAGGAGTACAGGCACGAGCTGACAAGAGAGGGGGCACAGGCTTGGCACTGGAGACCCCGTGGCTGTAAACAACTCACCAATGGTCAGTTAAAGACATGCCAGAACTGGACAAATATAACTTTAAGAGTAACAAAGAAAAAGTAACATCCATTAAAAGTGCCATGTATATATAGTAACCTCAGACGTAACAGGGTGCTGCAGACCAACAAAGACAGAAGTGTAATAGCATGTTAGCAAACATAAAAGTGACCCCAAGTGGATCCCAGAGCGAGAAAGAAGAAACCATCAGCTTGAACATCACTTTCCTCCCACAGAAGGACTCCGCATGCTGACAGCTCTCTAAGCCATAAGCTCTGTAATGAGTTTGCAAAGCCTCAGGACTGAGGCTTCTCAGTCTTGCTCAGTCTGAACTGCAGCTTGACCTGCCTGCAGCTTTCTTTTTACTTGGTTTAACTGTGGCAGCAATTTCTCTAATTGACCGGGTGTCTACAGCTAGTTTTTTCTACTTTTATTTATCTTTATAGAGTACAATGACAGTTGTACTCTACTGCTACAGCAATGGAACTGCCGACTTTAGTACCCAGAGGAGCGGTGGAGGAGTGGGCATAACACCAGGAAAATGGGCAAAAACTAAGAATCATGTGGATACCAATTTTAATTATATTGTTATGATTTCTTTTTATTTCAACAATTAGATCTGGACTAATAACAATTAGACCCTTAAGACTTCAATTATACTAACAATAAATTCTTGGGTTCGCTTTACATAAAAGGTATACATGCACCTTGATCATAAACAAGATTTTTAACTTAACAACTGGCTTAAAGAAAATAACCCCCATACCCACACTGATCTCTTCTTCAAAAGGTTTAATAAAAATCACAATACTCGCTAGTACTGACATTTTTTTTTCCTGTTGTATAACCCCCCCCAAATTATAAATGGTACTACATACTGCCAGCAGATACAGCTAATATTATTCATTTTTCTTAATATCAGTTTTCTGAGGTAGTAACATCACAATGACTATATACTTGAGTTTTAAAAATACTATTTTCCTAAGTATATTGCCAATTTTTAACTGCAAGTCACCACATTTTGGATTATAAACAAGGGGTTACTTACTTGTACTGCCTTGTGAGAATTAAACAAAGAGCTCGGTTTCCATACAGAAGATGGTTTGCAGGACTTAAAAAAAAAAAAAATTAAAAGTTAGTAATGTATATTACTTTTGAAAATCTTAAGAAGCAAAAAAAAGAAGTAAGTTTTCACAATAATTGTCTGCAAGCATTCTAGCATCAACAATCATATACAAGCTTCCTTGAATAGTCCCATTGATTTACAAGTTGTCGCTGAGAATATTAGTTTTAATTATGTAATAATTTGTAAGATTTGGGCCCACTAATACAACATCCAACCAATTCAAATCACTCTCAGCCTACTTAAAAAAAAAAAAGCAGAGAGAGATTTAAACTCCTTCCCCAACTCACTAGGCTCTGACAAACATATCAAAGTACACCTCAAATGGTCCAAAGGTATGAGTTAAACAAAAGGATGTCAGCTGTGTTTCTAAAAGGGAAAAAAAAAAAGGGGGGGGGGTGGTGGTGGTAAAAAAAGGCGTGAAACATCGAAAAGCTAGCTCAACTGTCACATACATCCCATTTTATTTTGTTCTGGAATTCCTAACTTTGAAGACCTAATTAAATCAGACATCTTATGAACACTTCTGGATCACTGGGTCTACAACTTTTTCATAACCCTCTGCCTGAATGGGCAGACTAAGCAGCAGTTCTAAAGCATTGCCCCCAATGTACCTAATGGAGAATGAGAGCGGGGAAACTGGTATATGGAATCCAGCAACCACTTGAAGGAAGCCCAAGGGAGGACGCAGCTAGTTAGGGAAGGAGTGTGATGATGAAGCAGATGAAAGTCTGCTCACGCTGGGAGAATGAGAAAGGGAAGACAGTGCACAGAGCAGATGAAGGACTCCCTAGCTGCTAAACATCACTGAGCTATCCTTCACCTTCCAGCAGGGTCTTAAGGACGAAGAACAATTTCTAATAGCTGTAACAACAGCTCAGCTCTACAGCCCCTGAAAACCATGATACTTCCTTTACTCTTTCCAAGCCATGGGATTTCCTTTGCTCTTTCACTGAATTCTGCTCCTTCCTCCTCCCGCCCCATCAGCTACCCTGAGCAAAGCCTTCTTAGCCTGCTCCATCATCTCAGATAGTCACTTGACCGAAGTCAGCCTACCCAACTTTTCAAGGAGGCTGAAATCAGCTTGAATTTGGGATTGAAATGTATGCTACTACATCACATAAAATCTGAAGCAAGACATGAACAAAATGCTAATCCTTTCAACTGCACAATTATAAGGCTACAAACTTCAAAATGGAAAAAATAAAACGGCTTGCACAATCAAATTTTTATGAAAGGTGGGACTTATGAATGTTGTATAACGACGCGAGACAGAGACTTCTTCAATATGAAGTAGATATGTCTACTTTATTTGCTTCTTAACAAAGTATTTATAATTAACTTGTGAGCTATAAATACATTTTTGGTCTTTATCCAAAGCACGATTACAAATAAACAGGATCTTGAAACAGGATACAAGATAAAAGCCAGATTATGTTCTAAATATGTTACAAGCTCTATAATTAACCAAATGTCCTTCCAAATTATATTCCACCTTTTTAATGATGTTCCGTTCCTTATTTATTGTTTCCTACTTATCACCAAGTTCCTTTTTCTTTGTACACAACTTTTCTGCAAGTCATAAATCAGCTTAATTATTGGATTTTGCCAAACCCTTATCTACCACGTTGCAACATCGTTCAGTCATTTTACTTAATTGCAGAAAATCCCACATTATTAATTTCACCATATTTCACAGACACCAGAACTTGTAAAAGCAGCATTTGCATGACTACAACACAAGTAGCAATTACACCAAACCAGCGTTCTGTAGCTAGTTCACATTACATGCAGACTACAGGAAGGGGGCAAATTCTCTATATGCATAGGACATAAATTCTCATTTAATCTCTGCCTCCCTGCCCTTTTATAGAGCCCAGGAAAGTTTCCAAAGCCTTTCAGCAAATGACTTTTTGGGAAGAAATTAAACAAGACTTACAAAAGGAAATTAAGCCTGTTGCATACAGAGTTACCAAGAGCAGATACTCAAAAATAAATATTTGTTCTTGTTCACTAGTTCTGCATCATAGCTGAGATGATCAATATTTGCAACAGTTGGTCATACTGTTCTGCTGGGGAATATTTAGGAAGGATGATACCAAAAGTGGCTGTTCACACCAAATATCTTATTTCCTTTCAGGTTTACTACACTTACTGTTAGTCATTTTAGATCAGCTTTAAACTCTAACAGGACCTTTGGGGCAGTAAAAGTGCAAACAACCACTAGTAACAAGAAATAAAATAGAACAAAAAAATGTGTTACATAGTGGGTTTTTTTGTTTGGTTTTTTTTTAAATTAGGTATCATTTGGCCTTTAAGTAGAGTGCCTCATGCAAAACTATACAAAATCAGGATAAATCTGAATAAGCTGAATACATATGATATAACACAACCTAGTTAACCAGTTTCATTCTTACCAAAACTCTATTGCTTTAGTATATGACATTATAGCATGATCAAAGTTTCCTTGGGAAAATTCCTCATTTCCTTTCTGTTTCATAGATTCACTGTTCTGAAATAAAGAAAAAAACAATTCAGCAACCACTGTAATTAAACTCAGTTGCAAAGAAAAGTGAAGAAAACACCTGACAAGAGGCAGCTAAGTTTTTATGCTTGTAAAAACAGTGTTACACATGCACTATTAGTTGTAATTTAATACTTTTAATTCATTGCAATTAATAAGCTTAAAGTGTACAAATAAAAGTGTTATGCAGACAAGAATACAATGAACAATAATTAAAAAGCAGGACTAACTCAGCAGCTCTCCTGGGTTCCATAAAATAGTCTTCATCAAAAGCAAGCATGTGTCAAATAGCAAAGTAGGCTGAGTACAGCACAGCTCAACCAGTTCCCTACTCAGTGCCTTTCAGCGTAGCTCTTGAACTATGGAATTGTAGCAAGGAAGATACAGAAATTAACCAGACTCCCATAGAAAAAAAAAACCAAACATCTACATTAAAGGGACACATGGCAAAGAATCTGAGAGCATCTTATTTCTGTGTTAAAACAATCCAGATGAACAATCTTGTATCAATATTAACTGCATTTCCTTGACCTTTTTTGGGGGGTGAGGAGGGGAACACTCTTCAATGTACACTGGCAACATAAACAACTAATGTTCTGTTTATTTAGGCCAGGACCTCTCAAGGTAACTATTTATGTCAGGACAATTACTCGCTCAAGCTTTTGAAACCTTTATCTTTGATCATTTGGTCATTTTTATAATCTTTGATCATAAAAAAACACCAAAAATTAACAACAAAAAAAGAAAAGCACAAACACATTCTGATATCTTCTCTCACCGTCCTACAGTTTTCACAGGTCACAGCTTTAAATTCTTCCACTAAATTACAATCTTCCAAAGCAACTTTAGTAATATAACGTTTGCCTGCAGACAAAATTCAGAAAAATACAGTGGGTGAAGAAGTTACCAAAGACAAGAAGTAGGGTTTATCTTCTGCTGCTAAGAGCCAAGCTCTGTTTTCTGACTGGAAGCAAAATTTGACACACCAACTAAATAACAGAAACAAATTAAGCAACAGAAACATTTAAAAGAATTCTTTATTATTGGGTAAGCCCAAAATAGCTGGCTGCAGACTGCAAAACATTGAAGCACTTGCCTAATTTCAAGCAATCAGTTGAAACTCAATTGTTTTTTAAAGAATTTGCATTTTAAAGATTTGTAGAGATTTGTATTTTAAAGAATTGGTATTTTGGTACTTAACTATAAAAAGATTCTTCTCCTTACATGCAAATTGATTTCTACCATCCTGTTACTTACTGGAACAGCTGAGTTAGAATGCGTATACGCAAAAAGAAAGACCAGAATACAAGCCGCTTAACACATGTCAAAAACAGCAGGCCTGGGAGCTTTTTGTCATTTCAGCGGAAGTTCTGCTGCTAGTGTTAATATCTTACAGTAACTCCCATGAGCTACGTAAGCTAATTTTTGAAATCTGACTAACATCTCAATATTTTGACAAAATTGTTTGCCAACGTTTAACAGAAAAACCCAAATAATATTTCCGGCAACTTTCAACTTAACCCTAAGTTAAAGGAATATAGGGCACACGTACAGCCCATAATGGACACCAAAGTGAAAAAGTGTTCTGAACTCCTGCTCAGAAAGAGCACATGCACTGTAAATACAATCCACATACAGAGATTCAAGGAAGAATCAGCTGGTTCAAATAAGCAAAAACTAAGAGAAAAAAATCCCACACTACCACCACCACTATTTTTCCAGTCACTCTTCCAGTCACTTCCAGACTAATGAAATACATACAAACATTAACTGTGTCATAACTACAACACAGGTGACTTTCCTCACCACTGTTTCTTCAAAAGTGTTCATACTTACATTCAGCAAAGAAAATTTCGAGATAGATCCAACCAAAATCACCAAGTTTCTCCAGCCTCTGCAGAATACTGACATCACCTGTGTATCTGACCCAATCAAGTGCATCCCCAACATCAAAGACACCCTGTTTCAATTGAAGACAAGGAAAATAAAGAAAAAAATGGTAACTCTAATTCTATACAAAGCTAAGTCTTAAAACAAAAACAACAAACACCACAAAAACCAACAGCTCACTGGCAATATAGTGGAAGCATTCCATGTAAATATAACAAACAATACTACTGTAGCATTTACACTATGCACTTGTTCCTGATCTGTTAGCCTTTGAAATAGACAACAGCTCACAAATATAAATATCTGGATAATTCAAGCACAGCATGATACAGCATATTCACAAAATGAAAACAGTCATTCTTTCAACAGGAGAGCGATTCAGATTATAGAATTTTATTTAGAAACTTCTTTTTGATGACTGCACACAAAATTGCTTCAGTGTGAAGTGACAAGCCTGACTAGAAAAAGCAACATTCTCCAGGCTGTTAGACATGCAGACCAGGGCTAAGACATAATTCTGTAAATCATGACTTCCCTTCTATTCAAACTAAATTTAAATTGTTTGAGCTAGAGAGCTTTATTTGAAGGAGAGGGATTGAGTGAAGAATGCCCATTGCCCGGGATACTCCCACATTATCTGGCCCTACAGAGTTTGAAAAATAATTTAAAAACCCACATGACTAAAACAAGCATCACTAAAAATATAGGAACTGGGTTATCCAACAGTAACATTCAGTTGTACCTATTCTGCTTCTCCTATTGCTACTATTAGCTACGATATTGTCTTCTAACTTCAATGTTTTTGTTTTAACTTTTGCAGTTAACCTACAGCAGGCAGCAGAAACTATAAAGTGGGAAAAAAGTGACAAACACAGGGAAACTAAGAATGTTCACAGTCCAAAGTTTACAAGCTGAAAAATGTAATGAGTATAGTTCTGTACACTGAATTTGATAATGAAGATGGATCAGCAGGTTTCCAAGCCACACCCTTACTCAGCTATTGACAGTCCCTCAGATTGAATCAGTAGCACTATCTGAGAATCTCATAAAAGATTTCCAACCTGCCTCCCAAAGAGGAGCACTTTTGCATCATTTCAGTGATCAAACTTAGCCCTACTTGTAGCCCTGTAACCCCATCATACATCATGGCCATTGCTAGTAATAGGCCACAGGCTTTGTACAGAGTTTGCAAGGCCACAGGGCTGCGAATTGTCGGGCTTACTCCGAGCTTGTCCTGACTTGCTTAGAGCTCTGTTTTAACTTGGTTTTAACTGTAACAGCAATTTTTCTTCTAACCGGGCGGCTATGACTAATTTGGTTTACTTTTGTATGGTACAACAATAGCTTTCATATAGACAGTAGTAACAAGCAGTTAATGATGCTATGACTAACACAATGATGCAGTATTGAGAAATGCAAGCAAAGTATGACAGAGCACAGGCCATGAAAATTGGAGACACGTAATGCAGTTTAGAGGAGTACAGGCACGGGATAGTAAGAGATGGGGATCAAGCTGACACTGGATAACCAATGGCTATAAACAAGTGGCCAAGTTAAAAAAAAAAATAGAGCTGGACGAAATTGGGCAAAAGCAGTTTCTAACATACATAAAACATACTATAGATAGTAAAATCGTATGCAACTTGAACCTGCAGGCCAAGGAAAATAAAGAGCAGGGTATAAAAGCGCATTACCAAACATAAAAAATGAACCAAAGCAGATCCTAGAATGAGGAAGAAGAAAGCATCAACAGCAGTCCTTGCAGCAAAAAACTCCAGGCAGTGATGACTATATCCCCCACCTCCCCAAACACCAGACAGAAGCCATTCATTTTAGGATCCCAAGGAGCAGTACAAGAGTAAGCACAACACCTGGAAAAGGGTCAGATAGTAGGAAGAGTGTCTATTACAATTTTAACTGTATTATCATTAAAGAGTTTTTCTGTTTAGTCGCATTTGTTTCTTCCTTTTATTTCCTCTTCTGCAATAATTAATTCTGGAAGATTTCAGTTATACTAAAAATAACTTGTCTTTACATATAAAGTGTGTTTGCCTTTTGCCCATACCTAGACTGTTAGCGTTAACACAACACGACCAGCACAGAAAGAGAGGACAAAGCAAAACACTCCGCCGAGAGAGGACTGTGTGCTTATGGGAGGGAATCTAGGAATCTTCAAGACTGAAGGCAGAGAGCGCACTGAGACATCTCAAAGGAATAAGCCTTCAACAAGAAATGGCTAATCTGCAAGAAAGCAACAAGGAAAGCCACTGGCAGGTACCAAAGCGGGCACTGGAGGGCTGACCTGGGCTCCAGCTGCACAACCTAAACCCACCCAACCACACTGCAGTAGCAACCTCCAAGGAAACCATTTATTTTCAGCATGTCAACTACCCCCAAAGTTCTCACTCATTTTGGTCATCTTACACAGACGATATTTATTTCACAGTTCCTGTCACACACACATTTCCTTTTGTGGCTCAGAGTTGCAACAACTGGCAACTCCAGTCCTATATACTACATATTCCAAAAACTACAGACTCTATTTATGCAAGCATTTTAAAATTTTGGATATTTGGACAAATATTTTGTTTGTATTCATACATAAAGAAGCATTCCTATCAAAAACAATTCAAGAAACTTACATTTTCTATTCTGCTGCCAATTCTCAGTATGCCACCAATAAAAGGTGGAACATTCTGGAAAAGGGATAGAAAACAAATAAAAACAAGTTATTAAGACCTGATAACTTCAGTTTCTATCTGCTCAGGTTCAACTCAATAACATTTTCTGTTCTGCTTGAATGCAGTATCATTTGGACAGTTGTTCTGGTCCCTCTCAAAGTTTCAGGAAATATTCTTGTATTCAGTAGCAAATCCCCTACCATTTTTGTTGAAAAATAAATAAATGTTGATGTGGAAATAGAGAATGCATGGATGCTGTGACATCTGGTTAGGAAAGTCAGTCACTTTTACCACTTCTGCAGTTAACTACATACCAAAGAACCAGCTGATACATCCAATGAAAACCATCCAAAACAACAGTACTTCCTCTCCTGAGATCTTCTGCTCCTCCAAATAAATTTTACTATTGGATATACAATCTTTTACATGGAGAAGGAGATAGAGGCTGAGGAAGTAAGAAGAGGGAAGCAGAGGTAAACAGGGAAATGGGAATATACACAGACCCTCTCATATAAAGATCAAATGGGAGACTACCAGAGGAGGAAACAGCACAAAGAACTCCTCACGTGAGACAAAATGGAAAAACTACAGGGACATCCTGAAGTACAAGGAGGTGAAAACAGAGCACTCGGATAGCCTGAAGGAGGAAGCAGCAAAAAGAGCATAAGGAAGTATGAATCCACAAGATCAATATAGTACATGAATACCTAATCATAGAAAGACATATAACAGTAAGGTGGACTGGAAAAGTGTAGCTTGGGATTGAGCACGTCCTGGTTTCGGCTGGGATAGAGTTAATTTTCTTCCTAGTAGCTGGTACAGCGCTGTGTTTTGGATTTAGTATGAGAATAGTGTTGATAACACACCCATGTTTTAGTTGTTGCTGAGCAGTGCTTACACTAGTCAAGGACTTTCCAGCTTCCCATGCTCTACCGACTGAGAAAGCTGCAGGTGCACAAGAAGCCGGGCGGGGGCACAGCCAGGACAGCTGACCCAAACTGGCCAAGGGA